GCATTATTATTGGGTTTTAAGGTGGCAGGTGCAAAGGCTCATTTAAACTGCCACACGATGGACAGCAGCCTTGTAGAAGGTTTAAAACATAGATGAATTATTGAGCCAAGGAGATTCTCTTGTATATGCGGGGGACCGGAGGAGAATATGTATCATCCTTGATACCATGGATTGAAAGGGAATTACTCCACTATCATTATGCGATTCATAGGGTCAATCCTAGAGCACTGGTCCATGTCTTGAGCAGTTGGAAGGGTGATGAAGGGAGATAGTTAAGCGTAGCCCCATTGTGCGAGTGATGCTGTATTTGGAAGGACAGTAAGAGGTGCCCTTTCAAGAAATAACTTGCCAACTGGGAAGATGAAATACTTGATGCTGGGCTCCATGTTCTTTGGCTTTTGACGATATCCTGTTTCTAGTGATCCTTCAGCTGAATTTCTGTATAGTACTATAGTAAGTGGTCACTTGATGTATAACTCTCTTTTTCCTTTAACAATTTCTATGCTCTTTGTTTGCAATGTGTGTAAATGAACTCACCCTCTTCATAGCTTTTAATGAAGTATCTTTACCTTTGAGAACAGTATCCACTTTGAAATACGCTGAAGTTTTTTGTCAAACTTGTTCTTACTTCATGGGGTAGGTTTATCATACGGATGCACTACTGCAATTGTTACCCCATGTTTTAATACCATTACTATGATTTCAGTGTAAAGAAAGCATAAAGATCTGGTGATATATAACTAAATTACAAGAAATTTCAGCTCATACATAGAAAAGATACACAAATTTGTTCTTAGTCAGCAAACATACCGGAAAATGCTTCTCCACGTCATCAACATCATTTACAAGTGAAGCCCTTGGATCATCCAATGAAATTGCCACTATTTTCCAGTCAAGTTCGCCCTCATCAATCATAGCTAAAGCACCTAAGGGCTTGACTTTCAGAATCTGGCCAATTTTTCCACGGCTATCCCCAATTTCAACAACATCAACTAAAAAATAATGAAACCATCAAAATAAATTAAAATGGCATACTATGAGTGAACAGAAAAATTATCAAATAGATAGGAAAGTCAAGATGTTACAATGGGTGGTAGTGGTAATATACCTGGATCGTTATCTCCAAATGCCCCATCAACTTCATGGTTGGCAAATGACGGGTCTTCCCAAGTTTGTGGGAGTAATCCGTAATTCCAGTTTATATTATACCTGAGAAGGCAATTGAACTGGTTCAGGAACATAAACAAAGAACTATACACTCGAGATATAGTTATGCACTGATGCTAAAGGTCGAAGCAGACATTAAATGTAGAAGAATCCATGGTATTCTCATTAGATCAATTAATGATCAAGATTCTGGCAAACATTAACAGTGTTATCTCTCAGGACGAAAGAGTTACAGGTTTCCTCTAAAGGTAGGAAACGAAAAATTCAGGAGGAACCGGGGGGGATAAAACTATGAGCTTCAGGGCACTGCACTAACAAAGAAAGATTACAAGTAACAATATCTGTCAGATTATATAAACTTATTAGGTTAACAAAACCAGAGATCCAGTCCAGGTTTTCAACAGTAATAGCCTTGAGAGCTAAAGTTCAGTTTTCAAGCCTAATTCATAATCTTTTCTGCAAAATAAGGAGCAAATATGCATTTATATATTATGTTTCTTTTCCTATACTTGATTGCCCCCTCCCCCTCAGGAACATTCCTGGGTCCACCTCTGCCAGCCGTCCACTTCTTGGAAGGACAGGAGGTAGTAGTGGACCTTGCTTCAAATATAACATGACTACATGAGAATAGTGGTGTACGTTGAGGAGTCCATCCAAGAGCAAGATTTGATAGTCATACACCATGAGAATAGGTGGAAATAATTAATTCAAGCACCTAAACAATGAAAAGGAAAACATCCACAAAGAAAAAAGTGCAACAGCATATCATACGGGTAGTAGCGCAATTTTCCTTTCTTTGTGTCTTGTTTTATTGGAGTGAATGGCTCATCAGTAGCAACCTCCATCTTTGCACTTGATTCTTTGGGAATTTCAACAATAAAACTGAAGGCACTATCACCCAAATGTAGCGGTATATCATGCCAAGGAGAAACCTGCAACGTGAGCAAACAAAATGCTTTGTGACCAATAAATTCAAGTCGTTGGAAACCCTAAAATTTCATTCTGACTCTAAATTAATTAAGGAATAAAATAAATTGGAAACCATACTCAAACTATGCAACTGTTTCTTTATAGACCTATCTCATCCTCTGTTCAATTTTCTGATATCAAGAATGGAACAAAAAATATGGAATCTTACAACAGTGGGATTTTTAAGAATTTTTCCTATTGCATTTCTACATTTTCTCGGCTGAGAAAATTTCAGCCCAAATCCAGAAAACCCCGCAAAGTCATATTCTATGCCTCGCAATTGCAGATATGTAACCACATTTCCACATGAAAACTGTTAGGCACCTCATTCGTATGAGCTACCACCTGCACTGCAGATTTTTATTCTTTATTTAGTTTTGGGATTTCTATCCTAAATTAGTTTTATGGATAGAAATCATGAATAGTTGGGTTAGATTAGGAGTTTATTGAGCCAAGAGTTGTAATTGGCAAGGAGTCTAGTTAGTAGTAGAAGTCTAGTTAGGAGGTCTATTCTATTTATATCTTCCTGAACATTGTTTTTGGCAGAAAAAATTTTAATAAAAGTTGGAGGACGATTCCCCTTGAAGTGAATCAATTTCTCACAGGATTCTTGGAACCTATCATTTGGTATCAGAGTAGTTCTTTTCCTGGTATCATCATGGTTACTGTGAAAGAATTGACTGAACGTGTTGAGCAACTGGAATCAAGAATGGATCAACTTGCGGGTGGAGTTCAGGAAATCACAAAAGCCATTCACGTGATTCTGGCATCCTTAGACCAACTGGCGATGGCCCCCCGTGTAGACCGACAGGCCCCTGTTGCTCCTGCTGCACCGCAAATGGCGGACCAACAATCAGTGAATTTGCAAGATAAGCTGGTTTTACAAGGGCAGCCGATTCGTATTGACTTTCCAAGATTTGATGGTGAAGATTTGAAGGGCTGGATTTTTCGAGTTGAGCAATATCAACACCTCCATGGACTCACCGATGCACAACTGGTGCCATTGGTTTCCATTCACCTAACTGGAGTGGCTACGTCGTGGTATTGCTGGATGGTTCGTTCAATTGGTGTCATGTCTTGGACACAATTCACTAAGGCTTTATGTTTACGTTTTGGTTCGCGAGAAGATATAGATCCTGCAGCTTCTTTGTCTAAAGCTTCATCAGACTAGTTCTGTGCGAGACTACCAAACAAAGTTTGAAATTTTAGCAAATCGGGTAAATGATTTACCTGAATCTTATTTGATTAGTTGTTTCATTTCGGGACTACGTGAAGACATCAAGGTTGGGATCCGTCTTTTGCGTCCTTCATCTTTGCCAGAGGCCTTTGATTTGGCTATTTGTCAGGAGGAGTCTGTTTGGGCTTTACAAGACTACTCCATTAGGAAAACCCAATAGAAATCAGGCTCTAACCGAAACTAGGCACAAAATACTTCTTCAACTTCTCCTTACACAACATCCCCAAGCTTACCACCCATCAAGCGTCTTACTATTTCAGAACAAAAAGAGAGGCGAGAAAAAGGGTTATGCTTCAATTGTGACAACCTATTCAAGCCTGGCCATCGCTGCAAGCGTCCTCAACTGTTGTTCATGGAAGGACATCATGCACCAGAACACGACTATGCAATTTCTGGCACCAATCAGCCTGAAACTATGCGAATTACTGGCTATTTAAAGAGACAACTTGTTACAGTGTTGGTCGACTCTAGTTCAACCCATAATTTTCTACATTCTTCTCTAGCTCGATGTTGTGGTTATCTTGTGCACAACACTACTCCGATTCGCGTAACCATTGCCAACGGACGAATTCTTCATAGTCATGGTAAGTGTAATGGAGTTGACCTAAATTTGTAAGGTTATTGCTTCAAATCTGATTTTTTCTTATTACCGGTGAGTGGATGTGATATTGTCCTGGGGCTACTTGGCTTCGTTCCTTAGGCGCCATTACTTGGGAATTTTCTAAATTAATTATGAAGTTTATTCAGGATGGCCAAGAGTTCAAGTTAGTAGGTAATAAATCCTCAATCAACACTATTGTTGATCAAGGCAAACTTCACAAGTTGAGATTCCAAGCTGACTGTGTATTCTTGTTACAATTGGTGGCTGGAAACGTTGCTGTAATGGAGAGGGAGGTTTCTCCTGAAATCAGCCATAGTCTTGACCATTTTAGGGATGTGTTCGGTGACCCTAAAGGACTCCCCCCTACACGGACTCAAGACCATCGTATTCCACTGATTCCAGGTACTGTTCCAACCAATGCCCGACTGTACCGTTATTCTTATTTTCAAAAGGATGAGGTCGAGAGATTGTTAAGGAAATGTTGGCTACTGGCTTGACTCGACCGAGTGTTAGTCCTTATTCATCCCCAATGTTACTAGTGCGGAAAAAAGATGGTTCTTGGCGGTTGTGCATGGACTATCGCTCCCTTAATAGTATTACAGTTAATGATCGTTTTCCTATTCCAGTTATTGATGAGCTTTTAGATGAGCTGCATGGTGCTATGATTTTTTCTAAGTTGGATTTTCGTTCCGGTTATCATCAAATTTGTATTCATGCACCAGATATTCCAAAGACTGCATTTCGCACTCATGATGACCACTATGAATTTCTTGTCATGCCTTTTGGGCTTTCTAATGCACCATCCACCTTTCAAAGTTTTATGAATGATATATTTCGGCCTTACTTAAGAAGGTTTGTCCTTGTATTCTTTGATGATATACTAGTCTATAGCAAATCTGTACAAGACCATATGGAGCATTGTCATTAGTGTTACAATGCTTGCACCAGAATCAACTATATGCTAAACAGTCCAAGTGTTCTTTTTCCAAGTCATCTATGGACTATCTTGGCCATATTATTTCTAAAGAAGGGGTTATGGTGGATCCCGAGAAAATTCGCTGCATGATTGAGTGGCTTAAACCCAATACTCTTAAGGCTCTACGAGGTTTTTTGGGGCTCACTGGCTATTATAGAAAATTTGTGCAAAATTATGNTTATGGATAGAAATCATGAATAGTTGGGTTAGATTAGGAGTTTATTGAGCCAAGAGTTGTAATTGGCAAGGAGTCTAGTTAGTAGTAGAAGTCTAGTTAGGAGGTCTATTCTATTTATATCTTCCTGAACATTGTTTTTGGCAGAAAANAATTATGGTCAAATTGCAGCACCCTTGACTCACATGCTCAAAAAAGACTATTTTGGATGGTCATCGGATGTAGAAATTGCTTTTGAGAAATTAAAGCATGCTAGGACAACCACACCAATGTTAGCGTTGCCCGATTTCTCTCAAGAATTTGTTCTAGAATGNTTTTTTAATAAAAGTTGGAGCAAAGTTATCAAATCGTGTATCGGAAGGCGTATCGTAAGATACAAATATTGTATCGNAATTTTAATAAAAGTTGGAGGACGATTCCCCTTGAAGTGAATCAATTTCTCACAGGATTCTTGGAACCTATCATTTGGTATCAGAGTAGTTCTTTTCCTGGTATCATCATGGTTACTGTGAAAGAATTGACTGAACGTGTTGAGCAACTGGAATCNCCAGTAAAACTCTTTATGGGAAAAATTTAAATCTCTCGGTCTATGATAATGAAATGCTTGCCATAGTCTTTGCGGTGAAGAAATGGCGACTATATTTATTAGGTCGCCACTTCACAATTCTTACTGATCATAAAAGTTTAAAATTTTTTATGGATCAACGGGTTTCTTCACTTGAGCAACAAAAGTGGGTTACCAAGCTGTTAGGATATGATTATACGATAGTGTTTCGAAAGGGGGCAGAAAATCGAGCNTGGCCCCTGTTGCTCCTGCTGCACCGCAAATGGCGGACCAACAATCAGTGAATTTGCAAGATAGACTGGTTTTACAAGGGCAGCCGATTCGTATTGACTTTCCAAGATTTGATGGTGAAGATNCAACGGGTTTCTTCACTTGAGCAACAAAAGTGGGTTACCAAGCTGTTAGGATATGATTATACGATAGTGTTTCGAAAGGGGGCAGAAAATCGAGCTACAGATGCTTTATCTAGGCAAGCTGAAGAATCTACCTAACATGCTATTTCTGTAACACCCCGCATTTTCTTTTATATATGTATATAGATATATAGTAAATAATTGTTGTAAAAATGGGGATATGTGTAGTGATGTGTGTTTGAATTTGGTAGAATGAAAAAGGGATGAACAGTGCACTGGCTGTAACATCAAGCTCGATTTCGACCTTGATGCAGTCCATATCTCTCAAAACTTAAAACATGAAATTTGTAGATCTCTCTCTTAGGATTCCATATCACCTTGAATCATCTCAATCGGAACTAGGAGGAAGGAGTTATGTCCATATTACGAAGTAGTGTCTACACTGTCCAAAAATCTGTCC